GGTCTAGTAAAGTTCAATAAGATAAAAAAGCATAAAACAAATTTTTTTTATTCAGATTATATGAAATACAGTTAAATTGAATACAGGCTTGTCGTGTAAACTTGTTATGTGAAGTTATTTTCAAGTTTGACTAACACAAAGCTAGTGCAAGAAGCTTCGCTATAACTATGTTACAAATAAATAACTCCAATAATGTTTTATTTAAATGTATATACGATTTATTTAAACTTTGGTAGTGCTAAAATTTGATCTCCAGACCAAAAATACTATATGAAATTAAGAACTTGCAACCAGATCGTTAAGATTCAATATTAATTACAGCTATTCTCATAATTTCTGGAACTGATAAAAATTATTTCGGCCGAATTCGATAAGTTTTTGAATTCGGTATTATCGGCATTAGATTTTTCACCAAATTCAAAAACTTAACGAATTCAGCCAAATGATCATTGAGTAGCAATTTTTATCGTTGACCCAGAATTTAAGAACAGCTGTAATAATTGTTATATTTTTAACTTTTTCAATAAAACATGATTCTATATGCAAGCTTAATTTAGTGGTTCATAGTCTCAAAAATTATGAACTGCTAACCCTTAAATTGATATTCGTACTTCTTTCTATGTGCAAACCCGATTCAGTGGTTCATAGTCTCAAAAATTACAGAACTGCTAGCTCTTAAATTGATACTCGTACTTTTTTAAACTAATAACATAATGATGATAAGTATTCCTATTATACTGGTATATACTATCTGTATTATGGCTTTTTTTATTGAAAGCTTTGAATGCCGTTAGATAGTGCCAAGTTCTAATGCATAAAAACCTATAATTCTTTAATTTTCAATTGTTGGAATACTAGACTAATATGCATTAAAGTTACAAAATATAAAATGAATAAAATATTGTGAATTACATACATATCCTTATTTATCCTTAATTAGTAAATTTGTCTCTCAGTCTTGTGAAATTCTCATTGCTAATCATATTCAAACTAAAAAAGAAATGGATGAAAGACAAAACATTCGTTATTATATAAAAGAAAATTAGCATTAATGGTAACAATGCTTGAATTAGGGCAGTTATTTTTTGAATACAATTGTAAAATAGTCTTTCAAATTGTTATTAAACAGGCATATACTGATTTTTTTTTTAAAAAAAAATTCAATATTGTTTTCCTAATAATGCATATAACATGTGGGCTGGAGTTAAAAAAGAAATTCAACAATGAATATTAAGTAGTATTGTTGAAATTTCCTCTTTAATTCCAGCACAATATATATATGAATAGGAACCTAATAAAATCTCATAAGTCACTATATAGCATTATAGACTTCAGGCTTTCTAACCAGAATTAAGCACAATTGTTACATTTGCAGTAAAATCTCTATAAGTGCACACTTTTTCTAAATGCACGTCAAATTTTTGCCCGAATATACATAATCTCATAAATGCATTTTTTCTAAGTGCACATTATTAAGCTTGGTTCCAAGAGCGTGCATTCATGGAGGTTTACTGTAAATCCTATTTTTTATTTAGCTATTTCTTATTATAAATTAAAAAATGCGACTATTTTTAGTTATATTCTTGTACATGAAAAGTAGAATTAAAAAGATTAAAAGAAAAACAATATTACTTATTGTTGTATAAAGCCTTATTGATTATATTACAGTATTATTGAATTGCACTTGTAGCCTATATTTTGTACCAATTCATATATAAAAAAAGCTTTAAAATCTCCAAATTAAAAAAAAAATCTTTGAATTGCCAATTCATCTATTAATTGTTCAAAAATCATGTTATCCTTGTTACATATTTTTTTTTATCATTAAAAATATCATCTGCTTATCTACAAATTTAAAGCCAAATAATCTTTCTTGTTTTTAGTTGTTAACTATACTGTGAAAATCCAATACAAATAGCACAGAAATATGCAGGTGGCCCTAAGAAACACAGATTTACGAAAGATATTATTATTCTTGGTCAAAAAGCTACAAATAAAGCCAATACATATGGTGTATACAAAGCTTGTGGTGATGCACTTGGTCAGGATGAAACTCTAAAAAATACAATTACTAATAAAAAAAATACAGTTTGAAACTACTTAAAAAGGTGTGAATACTTTTATGCTAAGCTAGGATCTCAAGAAGCAGTAGATGCATATTGCAACAAGACAGATAATGAAGAAGAACAGATTCCTGTTTCAAAAAGGTGCAAAAATACTAATTTATCTGGTATGTAACTTAGATTTTAAAAATTAGAACATTGGTATTAATAATATATATTTTTTTTTTTTAAAAAAAAAAAAAAAGATGATGATAATACAAGTGACATGACAACTGGTAATAGCACTTCATCTGTCACCAAAGCCGTCAGCAAGAACAAGAAAAATCTACAAATTCTATAGATAACTTCATAGTTCGAAGCATTATGGCAAAGGAAAAACCAAAGTTTGAGCAGCTATTACTCAGAATGACCGTATCAAATGGGTGGTCCTTTTGATGGACATCAGATCCAGCTACCCTTAAGTTTTTTGAATTTTTAAATTCAAACCTCATTCTTCCTGGTTAGTATGCTTTGTCAAATCGTATTCTCAACGTTGAAAAAAAAATTTAGATTTGTCTTTTGAACAAAAATTAAAAACCGATAAAATTGGAGTTACTTTAGTATTTGACGAGTGGAAAAATGTTTTAAAGCAACATATATTTGGTTCATTACTTATCTTATCAACTGGAGAATCTTTAGTTTGGAAAACAATTGATATAAGTTCAGAGCAAGAACAAATGATTGAAATTATCTCTAAAATTGAATCTATGATTAATGAGATATCGAAAATAGGTACTAAATTATCTGCTGTTGTTTCTGATAGTGTCTCAGCATATTTTGGTACTAGGTAAATACTATTATTGGAATAATAGAGCATTATTTAATGTATTTATAAAAATAAAATAATAATAATAATAATAATAATAATAAATTATTTTAAACAGACGTCAGCTACAGCTAAAATACTCCCAAATTGTTTTTCTTCCCTGCTTTACCCACCAATGTAATCTAGTAGTAGGAGAGATTTTTAAGGAATCTGTTGAATTCAAAATTGCTTCTAAACAAGCTCTAAAAATAGTTGCATATTTTAATAATGCTATTCATTCTTATTTTATTGAAAAACTTTGGGACATACAAAAACAAATATATACAAAATATATTAACTTGATTTGTCCGGCAAATACTTGTTGGAATTCTTACTCTTATTGTTTTAAAAGCCTAATAAAATTTCACCAAGCTCTAAGAGTAAATATCTAGTAATATTAATTTGTTAATATTAATTAATATTTTATTATTTTTTTTTTTTATTATTTATTTTTTATTTTTATTTTTTTTATTTTTTTTTATTTTTTTTTTATTCTTATTTTTTCCAAAGAACTTAGCTACCACGTACGAATTGCCTTTGGACACTTCGGCTTGTAATTCTGATGATAAATTAGGTCAATCACCAACTCATTTGGATGAACTTTATCTACCGTGTGATGTAACATTAATCCTGCTCAGTGTCTGGTAATCAATAAAATCATTACATTCTTTACTTCATCCTTACTACAAAACTCTCAATAAATTGCAATCAGATACTGCCCGTCTTTACGAAGTATTACAAGCTTTTGATAGAATTTTAAAAATGTGAAAGGAACATGATGATGATGATTTATCAAAGTATATGATTTTACGGTTAGAGCAAAGATAGAAACAATAGGAGCAACCATTATTACTATTAGCCTTTCTTTTAAATCCACATATTCGTGATATGTGGTTCAATACTAATACTAAAAATTTAAATTTTACTTACCTTGCTCAGTTTATTACCTACTATTATAAAGCATGGTTTGGGTGTCCACCAACTTGCATTTTACTTGAATTTGAAATATATAGAAAATATAATTATTTATTTGATTGTAAAACATACGAACAGTTTAAAGAACCATTAGGATTTTAAGAATTTGCCTTCTCCGCAACTAAAGAATTGGGTCCTTTAGCTATGCGGCTATTTGGAATTTGTGTTAATACAGCATCTGTAGAATGATTATGGAGTTCAATGGGATTTCTTCATACCAACCGAAAAATCGTCTCAAGGTAGATGTTATTATTAATTTGAGTTTTTTTAAAATATATATATATATTTTAAGTAGAAATGAAATTTAAGTGAATTGAAAATTTCTTAGAATTTTAGGATTAAATGTAGATTTATATAAAACAAATTCTATATACCCTAAAATTATAGTTTTATTAAAAAATTCAAATTCACTTAAATTCCATTCCCATTTACAACATATATATAAAAATAAAATAAAATAAAATAAAAAAAAAAAAACTTTTTTTAAACAGAATGAAAAGGTATTGGCTATGAGCCAAATTCGTGCCTCGATTAACTTTCCTCAGCAAAGGAAACAAAAACCTTATAATATATTACTTATTCCAACCATTGAACCAACAAATTCACAAAAAGTAAATGAACCAAACGAACCTAATGAACCAATTGAATTGGATGAAGAAGACAAATCAGATACGATCAACTATACGACTAGGAACAAATGTTGGCGGAAGAAGAAACTGTGATACTAGAAGATGAAGAGGCAGAACGTGAGAATGAGAATAACAAATATAAAATGAGTAGTGATTTGTTGAGCGATTATACGTATCCCGCAATAGATCATAATGCAAAGTGGAAACTGAGAGATCTATTTGGTCCGTTATTTCTAAAACCAAATTACATGAATATAGATGGTTAGATGGTTAGATCTACGAGTAAACCTGGATTTATTTGGGCCTGAAAATATATACTACTAAACCTTGACTAAAATATAGATTTAAATTTATAAATAAAATTTAACTGTTAGAGTTTATAAAGTTAGAATTTCTAACCTTCGATATAGTTATGTATCTGGTATGATGTACGTACGTATGTATATAGTAAAATAAAAGGTATGCTTGCAACTGATTGGCTATCAGACATATCACGTGTATGTAATAACCTTAATTCTTATTCGTATTTCTATTGGCTAATATTATATCGGTTCTAGTGAAATAATCCCTTCCAGTCAAAACTTTACTAGAACCACTGGAACACTAGAAATATCTGAACGTCCAGTGAAGTTCCAGCTTCCAGTCAACAACACTGATTTATGGCGATCAATAGTATCATATTATAGAAATTGTTAATTTTATCTAATCAGAAACACGATCTACAGATAGCCAATAGAAACTTTGGAGGAAATTAGTAAATATGTAATCTTTAAGCTGGATTTTCTCAATGTTAGCGTTATTTGTTGACGGATTACGCCTTATCTGGTCCCTGACCCTGTGGCTATGCTGACAGACTGCAACTTGTATGAATCTTGTTCTTTCTTTTTAATAAAGAATCCTCCAAAGATTTTATTCAATCGTGGTCCTGACAGAGCCGTTCGTCACCTAGTTGAACTCGAATTCGTGATCTTGTGATTGTGACCTGAGAGTGCTAACCACTGCGCTATCGACCCATGGATCCAAGAAACATTTTTAATTAGGCAGCAGAAGGTAGTTTCCTAATTAAAATTTAGAGTTATCCTTGTTAATGTTGTAAGTGGAAACGGAATTTAAGTGGATTCGGAATTTATATATAAAACCCCGTTTTTGGGGTTGATTTTATCATATGTACACCCT